TGAAACAGATGGAGATATAATTTGATAACTATTCATTCTGTTGGCTGTAAAGTGTGGCGCGTTCCAAAGAGGAAGACTATTTTTCATACACTAGATACTATTTTGCAGAAATGTTTTTCATGCCAGAATATATTCTGTGTTAGTTAGTAGTGTATGAAATAATAGATTAATGTGAAGTGTAACCATTACTTTACAAATCCAGGTTAAGTATTTAACACAACAGGATCACCTACCGAAGTTGTAATATTTTCAAAACGAGACCCGAAACTCGAGCGCTTTCGAATAGTTGACTATTCTTCTTCAGGAGAATAAGAAGAATAGTCAACTATTCGAAAGCGCTAGAGTTTTGGGTTTCGCTTTGAAAATATCAGTACTTTACAAAGAAATGTTTCAGAAAAAGAAAGCTTTGTCCAATGTGATTAGAATTATTAAAAAATAATGGCCAATCAAGCATTAAATACAGAAGGTTCTATATCAAATAATATAGCGTAAAAAGCAAAACATAAACAATGTAATAAACCACGTCTATAATCAAAATATGAAAATATGTTAATGGTTCGGTAAGTTATTAGTTAGTTAATTTTTAGTGAAGAATTTAATGAACTGAACAATTAATTCAAAATATAATAACAGCAACTTTAACATTTTCTTATTTTGATAATTATATTGTTTTGACCATAGTATCGAGAGAGAGCTTGCCGAGGGACAGAGAGGCATCGGCCGCCCGCTGCTGAGATACAAAGATATTTGCAAAAGAGACATGAAGGTGCTCAACATCAACACCTAAACTTGGGAGGACCTCGCTGCCGATCGCGCGATCTGGAGAAACACTCTCCGTAAACAGCTGAAGATTGGTGAAGAGGAATTGAATGTGGCGGCAGAAGAGAAGCGAGCGCATCAAAAGGAACAGGCAGCCAACAGACCAGCGTCAACGTACATATGTGACCTCTGCAACCGGGACTGTCACTCTCGTGTCGGTCCCCTTAGTCACAAGAGACGCTGCTCTAGACGAGCGATCAACATGAACTAACAATGGACGAATGCTCATCCATGGTCAAACATGGCCGAAGGAGGCCTACTACTAATGGTGCACCCTTCTAAAATGTACTATAATTTCAACTCTATTGTTTATAGTGAAAAAAACAAGAACTATAAAATGTCATCCATTTTTTTTTGTATAGTTTAGTTTAATTATATAATCATACGGAAAGTATTTTAATTTGAACATAGATTAACGATAAGTGCTGCCTTAACACTAAAACAATTCCAACTTGTGTTAATTATCACTCATATCGAAATATTTAATTCTGCACTGAAGCAATTATTTTACCCATTGAAACAGTAACTCTATTTACTATAATTCAGTCATTGTGCTTACAATACTTAAAATGAATTGTCATAATGGTTGAATATATAAAAGGTTGGTTAAATCACATCAAACAAAATAATCCTTACATTTTCAACCGTGGATTCATGATATATATAAAGAAAAATCGAAAAGGCATTGACTTCATTTTGGCTTTGTTTTTAATGAAGACAGTTCAAAGTGCTATAGTTTTTATAGGGTTTCTTAACAAATATATAATGCAGATTTTCACGTATTTATATGTTTTGCGCATTCAGTGAAGATGAGTGCTAATACTTCTTTTACCTTATTTCTAGGAGGAATGCAGGATTACAACTATGTACAAGCAGGTTGTATGGAGATCACTGTAGAACTTTCATGCTGCAAATACCCTCACCATTCAGAATTACCTCACTTTTGGGCATCAAATCGGGAATCTCTGCTGAAATTTTTGGGAGCAGCTCATGAAGGTTGCATATTCTCATAGAGATAAAGAAAAAATAAAGTAGTTTTAGAGGACTTTTTATAAAGAAATGTTATGATTAATCTAGTGTTTGTTAACACGTTTGAAAAATATGTTTTGTCCTTAAAAAAAATTGAATTTTGTGTAGTGTATCTGAATATTTATAAAATTTTTAGTCATATTAGGTCGTCAAGAAATTAATGTCGCTTTTTTGATTAAAAAACCCGAACAACTTATATAACAAAACAAAACAAAACATTAATTAAATGGAATAGTCTCCATTCTTATCGATGATGCTTTCCATCTTACAGTCAGGTTGTTAATGTCCTGATTAAAGAAATCGCTTGGCTTTGAAGCAAAACACATGTCGATGTCCTCTTTAACACTTTCCAAATTGTCATACGTTTTTCCATTCAGATGGTGTTGCGGCGAACGAAAAAGATGGCAATCTGATGGTGTCATATCTGGAGAACATGGTGGTTGGGGGAGAAATTCCCAACCCAACTCCATAATCTTGTGTTGCGTCAAACCTGCCACATGTGAACGTGCATTGTCGTGGAGAACAAGAACACCTTTCCGATTGACGAGTGAAGGGCATTTCTGATGAAGGGCTTGATTTAAACGTTCCAGTTGTTGACTATAGATCTTTATCTTGATAGTTAGCTGTGAATTACTCCTTTGATGTTCCACCAAATGCAAAACATCACTTTCTGCGGATGGAGTCCAGGTTTTGGGGTCGGAAGTGGCTTTTGTCTAGGACTGAGCCATTGTTTTTGGCATTTAATATTCGCATAGAAAATCCATTTTTAATCACTGGTGTCAATTCTGTCCAAAAATGGTTCACGCGCTTTACGCTTCAGAAGAGACGAAGCAATGTTCATACATTGGAAACGATGATCATTGGACAGTTCGTGAGGCACCCAAACACCCTCTTTATTGCGTTTTTCCATATTCCTTAGATGTTTACATATTGTTTCGTAAGAGACATGCAATTTCAGGGCCATTTCACGAGCGTGTTGCCTTGGATTAGACTCAACAAGCCTCTTCAGAGCATCAATATCAATTCCAACATGTCGGTTCCTCCCATCACAGTTTTTAAGGCTAGTCACCTGAATGAAATTTGCGGAACCATCGTTGACACTTACGAACGTTCAAAACATTTCCATAAAATTCTTTGATATTCGTTGTGGCTACAGAGGCGTTGTTTTCCTTCTTGTATTCAAACAGCATTACATGCCTACTGTGTGTCTCGTCGTGTGCCATCACTATAAGGGATCAGAGTATACTGAACCTTACACTTTATACAGGCTACACTAACGTGACATTTACGCGGTTCGTATAATTATCATACGTGAAGTACGTTTTTTTTGGGGGGGGGGGGTAAATAAAATTGTTTCAAAACGCGACATTAATTCTTGACGACCTAATAATTTAGTGAATGATTGCAATCTTTAGTTTGTTAACTCAAATAATTTCCTCGTACATTATCCAGTTATATTTGTATTAATAGTTTCTTTTCTCACAAAATACATACCAGTCTTATAAATTGGATGATATATTAACTTCAGAAATATATTTGATTTACTCAGAATGTGCTTACACAAAAACTCATTTCACTTCTTTTTCTCGTCTATACATTTGTTATACTACTCATGATCAGAAATGTTTTTACGTAATGTTAAGATATGCAACATTACGATGTACCCTTATTTTCATGTCATGGTGTGGATTCACAAACCTACCATGTGTGACTCTTCGACTTTCTAAAACTATGATATTGATTCATATTTATATATATATTCTTGTATCATATATGCTTTGTCTTTTACAATAAGTAAGGTTATGCGTTACCGTACTACAGTAGCATGTGGCTTCTTTGAAACAGACTTAATTTTTAAAATTCAAGAAAACCAGTCGGATGTGTTTTAGATAATATCTCAAAAGGGTAAAAATTCAAGTGTTGAAAAGTAGTTTTTGTTTATTCTCTTTACAACGTGACTTTGACATCCACGGGAATAAATATAACCTGTAACTATTATTTTCTTCCAAAGTTAACAAATTCATGTTTCATTTTTTTAGGTGTTAAAGGTTTAGTCATAGACTCAAACAGAAACTTTCTATCCAAAACGAGATTGAAAATCAAAGGACGAGACATGGATTTCTATTCAACAAAGAACGGCGAGTACTGGAGGATTCTTCTTCCTGGCAATTACACTATTGAGGTAAGAAGAACAAAAGCACAGACTTCTGAGACTGGTTATTTAATATAAGATAATTATAGATAACAATAATGATAATAAACAACTATTATTTTCAAATAAAATAACATTGTAATGATAATCTATATATATATACATAAGAAATGATATTATCTATTATCAATCGCCACTAGGTCCTGAATGACATAAATTTGACATATTTTGTTCTTATGAAATAATAATAATAATTTATTATAACAGAAAATATTGAAGTAGTCAATATAAAATTGGTACGTAATTACTACTTTTACTGTTTATAAATTAAATTGAAATATACATTTGGTATTTCCTTATTAATGTTTTTTTTTCTAATAAACGTTTCCCCATTTTTCAACCAAACGTTTTCGGTATAGTAATACCAATAATTTGAAATATCTTAAATGATTAATGTTTTTAAAATCTAAAGATTTGTACAATTCGTGTCTTTTAGGCCTATCTGTCAGGTTTTGTGGTAACAGAGGCTCATTTTTCTGTGATGAGTAATCAAATGACATCACTGAACTTGACTATGTACACTGAAGAAGAGATGAAAGCACTAAAAACAACGACAAAATCTTCTGATTTTGAAAGAAAAGATTTTGTAGGGACCTCTTTTTCTTCAAGATACAGTTCAGACAATACGATCGTTTTCACGGTTTCAGATAGTACAGAATATCCACTCGAGATTGAAGGTATGACAAAATTAAGAAATGAGCTATCTACAAAAAATACTTCTACTAATGCAAAAGTTGGGGCTTTGGGTGATGCATCAGGAAAGAGCTGCACGACTCATGACAGCTCATATCTCCTACTGGTATTACTTGGATGTGTGGGTTCAGTTTTATTTCGTAAGTGAACTGCATTGAAGATCAGTAATTACAATATATTGTTTTTAATTAGAAAATACAAACATTTTTGCATTTCTTCATTACCTATTAAAATGTATTATATATTTACTAGAACATTTTGCAGAATTTGGATTTACAAACTTCTGTCGAATTAAGATTTTCTTTTTTCATCTACTAGATGTACTGTTTTCATTTTTTGGAGTTTATTGGAATAAATCAAGTTAAGTAACACAGGACTGTTAGCTTTGTCCTGGTATTTCATATCACGGTCACATATTCTGTGTAGCTTGTGCATTTGAAAACCATACAATTATGTCAGAGAATTTGAATTTTCCTATACATTAATTGTCTTTTTTTTTGCAAATTTCAAAAGTCCTTTCAGTTATGCAAATAGTACATTTTTTGAAACATAACGTATGGAACACTTTAGAGAAAATAGAAACTTATTATGACTCCATTTTTTTTCATATTTATCATCTAGCTTTCTAACCTTAATATGCGGAAACTTACAATGTTAAATATTTTGTCAAATTACAATGTCAAATGTGTCAAATAGTTGAATCTTTTAAACTTTTGTGTTTTAAAAAGCTGCGACTTACAATCACAATGTGCAATAAATTGTTATGCACAAGTAACAAAATACTTGTTTTATCTATTATATCTAAACTACAACATTAAAGGTAGTTATCAAAGCTAGAGTTGGTAAGCTGCTTTGAAAATGTAACCATTAAAGCAATTTTTTAGTAAATCTAGATAAATTCATTGTTTAAAGAATGATCGAATTTATGCTTGCCAATGGACGGCATAAGAGCTATATCTATACTTGAATGCAATAAATCAGACTTTTCTTGTTGCTATAAATAATTGCAACTGACTGAGGTTTAGGCAAAAAATAAGGTTATCCATCCTAATGTGAAAAGAACTGGAGAAGTGTTTGAAAATATCTCCACTATCAAGTAGAACTCTTATGCATGTGTACAGTAAAATGGCAATGTCAGAGAACCCTAGGGTTCAGGTATATCATCCTTATTTTTGAACTACTGAGCAGAATAATGCAATTTGTTCAATTCTTTAAACCGAATAACAGGAATGACAGTGAAGTTTGTAATTGCACTCAAAGGTGAAGGGACAGGCCTATTCAATGGCATCAGTCCGTGTCATTATATGAAAGTCGAGTCTAACTAAAGCTGATTTGTAAATGGTATTAAGTATCATATGTAATATACCATATATATTTTGATAGAGCATTAAACGTTTTAAAGCACGATATTTTTTATGCACATAATTTCAATTCAAATGCTCTGGGACCTCCTGTAATATGATAGATATTACTACTTCGATGATGTATATTAAACTTATAAGGATTACTGACAGTTACCTATCTATAATGATAGATCATTATCAGATCTATGATTATTATATAAAAATTTTACATAAACATCAATCAGTTCAGCTGCTAATAAAGCATTGTATTGTAAAAATTGTGATTTATAAAAAGATATTTTGGAAAATGAAATATACAAATTTGGTAATATATTAGCTCTATTGTGTTAAATTCATAGCCGTATTCCCAGAGAAGCTGTATACCAAATATTACGACTGTATATGAAACCGGTTGGAAATGAAAATGGAAGTAAAATCATGATTTTTTACAAACTTCGAACAGTTAACATTGTGAATGTCATTTTACAAATTGTCACCAGAACCAGAAGGCAGGTATGATATAATCATCTTGTCAGTTTGTATACTTTATAATTCACTAGATAACACTGACGTGTTTTGTTAGTAAATATAACTGAATCAAATCAATAACTGAAGATGTCTGTTTCAGGAAACTTCATATTTGTCGAACTGAAATAAAAAACAACGTATAAGTTTTTATGAAAAGTTTCTCAATCTTTCAATGTCTTAAATGTAGAGGAACTTACTTTTCCTTTGGTACTACGTTTTTTGCAGGTAGCAAAAAATGAAGTCATTATTTAATCTACGAATGTTGTAGATGTGATAAAAAATCATGTTTCTTAGTGCACGTGAAATAATGGTATCAACTAACATATAACTAATTTGTTGTCTGTATTTATGTTTCACGTTCTTCTCGGTTAAGCTATACTACAGTAAAAAAAGCCATAACGACGAAACTACTTGCTGTAATTAGACGTTTTATGAAATGGACAATTGTATAAAATAGCAATGACTGTAACATAAATGCAAATTTAAGCTTCTAGTATTTTCATCAGTGCATGTTCTGCAGTTTTCCGCGTATCTTGTACTATCATAAATTTGTATTCTTTATTAGTTAAATAAGTATGTCATAATATTTGGTAGCAACTTCAAAATTAATCGAAGGCCGAGGAAAATAATTTCTAAACAGATTTTCACTAAAGTATTTTTCAGTACATTTGATTAATTACATAACTGAACTCCAATAATGCAAAATACTGTTTAGTAATGTATTGTAAAGCAGGGTATATGAACTTTGATTACAACATTAATCAGGAATGCAGTATGAAGTAATAGTGATAATTAAGTGTTCTGAACATATTGTAATTATAAAAAACACTCATTTGTAATCTTAGCAAACTCTTAGGCTTGTAAATGGGACTTTGAAAAAAGTCAAAAACATCTTGTTAAAAATATTATAGACTGACAGTAAAGATTGACAGCAACGTTTGTTAGTAGTAAAGTTTATATTGTCAGTGATTGTTTCAACAGGAAAAATAAAGACCAAAACGTCATATGTGGATGACCTGCAGCTTCGATGTTAGTGTTCTTCCTAAAGTGTTCTAGAATGTCGACGTCACACAAAACATTTGGGGAACATGATACAGGGAATTGAGCATAAACGTACCAGCCGCTGTAATTTTGTGTACAATATATTATACCTTCGAAATCAAGATCAGTATCTAACACATCATATAGCTTACATGTATTATTCTTATGGCGCTATTTTAAAGAAACATCAAGTGTGAGAGGAAAATAAAGATCAAATGCTCTTAAGTGAACTGTTCACTTACAAAAATACAGAAAGAAACAGCACTGTACTTAGATAACCTGAAAGGGGTCGTTGGAGAATAAATAAAATTTAGAAAATTCCTTATTGATGAATAATTAATAAGTTGTATTTATACTGTTCCATTTCTCAGTAAAACACATAAATATGAACAACATATTTCGATGCATCCCCCAATTTCAATAAATTACACAGAAGTAGCAAATATAAATAATCAGTGTATGTGTTACAGAATGTGCATGGGAGAAACTTGTTTGTTTTCCCCCTATACGCCAAGCACCTCTTTACAGTGTACGGTAGTCAACCGTTAGTTCAATAATAGCCGCCATTAAGGTATGAAATAATGGTCAGTTATATGTAACCTTTCTCACTATGTGTGACCTTGAGCGACGTGTAACTAGTAGACTTGACAATATCTTTGGGTTGGTGATGTGAGATAACTAACTCACTGAAGAATATCATTGCATTATTGCTGCAGTGCTGCCCTCTTAACTCAGAGATTATTACTAAAGCTGGATGAATCATACGTTTAATCTTGGATACTTCTATTTATAGTTTGTCAAACAAACCACTGGGCTTCACTGTTAAGAGAAGAAATGTACTAATTATGAATAAATTGCAAATTTTAACTAATAGAGCTCTAACAGAACTGAGCTTATGGTTATATATCAACTAAAAACTTTTATGCAGTTTTGTTCTCGTTTCGTCCAAAAATGATGATGTTTTGTTGAAAATGAAATTTATATCTATAATAACGTAAATTAGCTGACACTGATTTTCTTTTCACTATTGTTTTCTTAGTGCAAGGTTGCACAATGGGCTATCTGCGCTCTGTCCGCTACGGGAAATTGAACTCCAGATTTTTAAATCCGTAAATTTACCGCTTATCACCGGTGGTCTTTCTTTTCGCAAACAACAACAAGAAATTGCGCTGAGTGTAAAGAGGAAATTAATGGCTATGGGGCTTAGACAGTAGAAGACTTTCACTTTACAATATTTACACAATTCTTTCTATTGATAAAATCCAAATGAGTCTTACATATACAATTTCTAGATCGTTTAACAATTATGGTAAATTAATGCTTTGTGTTAGCAAAAAAAGAAAGAAAATGTTTCTGTGATAACGTTACTCATAAAAATAACCAATGTTTCACTCTAAACGAATTTTTACAAATCGTATATATATATATCATTTTACTTCTTAATGTGCCCCCCGATAGCTCAACTGTAAGTATCACGGCTTATAACGCTAAAAATCGGGTTTCGATATTCGCTGTAGGCACAGCACAAATAGCCCATTTTGTACCTTTGTGCTTATCAACAAACAAACAAACTTGACGACACATATGTACACATTATGTAACATATCTTCCCACATATTAAACGGATATCTATAGCAGGTAACTTCAACCCACATACGCTACAAACCTTAGTAAAAAGATTATAGTAAAGATTTTCACATGAGTCGCGCTTATAGATATATTGCTGACATCCTTTTACCTTGTTGCCAATGTCTTCTTGGCAATGCCAAAGAAATTTGTAGACCAGAACTTACTCTGGAAAAAGCTCTTTCAATAATAACAAAGCATAGTTCCCAACTTTACGTATCAACATCGTTCTTAAATTTAAAGTTTTCAATAAAACAGACAGTTTTACTTTTGAAGTTATGAACTTTCCATTTCCGAACAAATGTCCCCAAAAGCTATGTTACAATGTTTACTATTCATAGCTTATTAGATACATTAGAGTTTCTTCAACATCGCAAGATTTCTTGGACAGAGCTGATAAACTCACTCCAATTTTTCACAATCGAGGATTGTCCTCATACATTTTACAACACAGATTCGTTAAATCTTGTAAAGAAAATTTAATAATATTTTTGCTGTTAATATGGAATTTATAGTTTTATTGAATATCACAACCTCTTCAAAACTATCATGTCTCTAAACACATTTTCTAACAAATTATTTAAAGAACAAATGAATGACTACAATATTGCAAACATCATTACTTTTACTTCTCTAAAGTAGTTTATAGTATAACATTACATCATTAGTTATATTAGTTTGTTAATATTACCATTTTGTTGAGATAAATTGAGTCTTACTGCGTATAGTTTGTGGGCGACTACATAATGTTTACCGACTTTTATATACTATACTGAACTCTTAAAGTTCAACGAATTTTTTCAAAACAATTTAACATATGTTTGTTTGTTTGTTTTGGAATTTCGCGCAAAGCTACACGAGGGCTATCTGCGCTAGCCGTCCCTAATTTAGCAGTGTAAGACTAGAGGGAAGGCAGCTAGTCATCACCACCCACCGCCAACTCTTGGGCTACTCTTTTACCAACGAATAGTGGGATTGACCGTCACATTATTACGCCCCCACGGCTGAAAGGGCGAGCATGTTTGGTGGTATGCGGATTCGAACCCACGA